GATATGGTCGGATGTGTCGCAAGAGAAGATAATGATCTGCCATTTGGGCAAGGGTCTGAGTGTGAAGGATATCAAGCAGTGCGCCGAGGGACGTGAGAACATTACGCTGGTCGATAAGGACATATCAACACCGGACGGACTGGCTGTCGACTGGGTACATCAGTTGTTGTTTTGGACAGATACTGGACTCGATCAGGTCTGGACGAAATTTACGAAATTTTGCTTCTTATTTAATTTATTGTAGATAGATTTCAGTGTTATTTTCATTCATTTAGTTGAAATTTTTTCACAGGTTTGAAATTTTTTTAAGGAATGCCTAAATTTTCGTTTGCAGATAAATGTGGTGGATTTGGTGTCGCGTCGTCGTCGAACATTGTTCTCGGATGGTTTAGACGAACCGAGAGCGATTGCAGTGGATCCATCGCGAGGACTGTTGTTTTGGACTGACTGGGGTGTGCATGCGAGGATCGAACGAGCTGGCATGGATGGCAACGATAGAACGGTAAAATTTTTATTTTACTGGTTGATTTAGGTAAAGAACGGTAAATTATAGTTGAGAATTGTGAATTCGTTTAGTTATCATCCAACTGGGTTGTTATTATAATGACTACTTATCGTTAGCGCGGAATGGGTAGCTTCCAAACAGTTCTTAAAAATTTTTGAACCAGCTGAAAGTAATCTGTTATGCATGGTAAGTAATTCTTTGGGGAACATTCAGCTGGAGAAATGCAGTGGTTTTGGGAATGATTGTTAGCGTTTTGGGATGGGATAAAGTTTCTCGGATTTGCATTCAACTTCATTTTCGAGGTTTCTATAGGCTTTTTTTTTGAAAGGGTGAATATTTTGGAGATGCGCTTTCAGGTTTTGATAAGTGGTGACTCAATAAAGTGGCCGAATGGACTTGCGTTGGACATCTTAGAGCAACGTGTGTATTGGGCGGATGCAAAAGTGAAACTGATAATGTCGTGTGATTATTGGGGTGAGAACACTCGTCTGGTGATAAGGTCACATCAACGGCTCAAACATCCGTTCTCGTTGACGGTCTTCGAGGAACGTTTGTATTGGACGGATTGGGATCATGAGGGCGTTCTGACCGCTAATAAATTCACTGGTAATGACTTCAAAACGGTGAGTTTTATTAATTGTTTCGTTTTTGGATATTTATATTGTTTTTGTTGTTATTTGTATTTTTTGTTGATTTTATTGTTTCTTATAGTTTAAAATTGTTTTTAGTATTGTTACCATATTTGTAATAATTATATTGTTTTTAGTATTGTTATCATATTTATAATAATTAT